CCCCAAAACCCCAAAACCCCAAAACCCCAAAACCCCATCATCCCAGATTTAAGACAAAAGCGTTTAAAGGGTTATATCAAATTAAGACGAAAAATAATAGATTATAGTTCAAATTTTAATGATAAGTCTAATCTTTAAAGAAGACTTTAAGATCCTAGTTTCATTCTATTGATTTTAGGAACTCAACAATATGCTTATTGACAAATTCATTTGAGTCTTCAGCCCACATATAATCTACATGATTGTAGTCTTCGATATATATAGTTTTTGCATGGTCTGGCAAAACGTTCTTGAGTTTCTCATAATCCTCGAGATCCAAAAGAGTGTCTCTTTGCCCATAGAACAAAAGCATTTTGATGTCTTTCAAGTCCTCCTTGAAATTGTAAACATCATAATTAGGAGGAGTAGGTTCCCCATATTTTTTCATATTTTCATTTTTCCCGTAATCAAATTAACAAAAGCGTTTAGATCTCAGCATTTAAATCCAATGCAACATGTTTTTAGTAGAAGTTCCACCCACATCGTTGATTGCCATCATAGGGAGAGTAGCAAGATCAATATGATATTTATCGTCATAACCCACAATCGACTGAACCATCATCCAAGAAGACCTTGGGAAAGTTCTTAAAAGTGGCTATCCAAGTCCTGATAGGTTTGGTAAGTATAAAACATGGTCTAAGAACTCATATAGAAAATCTGGAATTTTCAAAAGGTCTAAAGTCTTGGCTGCTACACTCTTAGTCTCTCCAATAAACATGACAGGAGCAACACCAATGAAAACTTTGAAATGCTTATGAATATCCCAATAGAGACTATTTGCTATGAACCACTAAGTTGTACCCTGGGAATGACCAATATAAATGACTTAATCAAACCCTGTCTTTTCCATGATGTAATTCAGATTAGCAGGGACATCATATTATCCCATTTCATGAAGAGTGAACTCCCAAAAGTTCGAATCTGAAGTTGTAAATTTTCTATGCTAGTTAGAGTATACTGTTCCTCTGCTATTAGTAAGCCATACATCATAGCCTAGATCTGCTAGTTAGAATGATAAATCAATATTGACATTGTTATTGAAGAACCATGTACCAGCATCATCAATCAGGCCATGCTGCATGTAGACAGGCTATTTCTTTTTCTTATTTTGCTTTTCAATGAATCTCCCAGGAATTCTAAATGCTGTGAGAATAAACCCATCCTCAGTAGTGATTTTGTGCTGTTCGTACATATACCCTTTCTCAATGATTTATTGATCGATTGGCCATCCATATTGCTCTGGTTTATCTGGAATATTCAAAATATTTGCAAAGTCTTGGAACAAAGCCTCTGAGAACTTGTAAGTTGAAATCAAAACATCAGTGCGATATTCTTGGTTCATTGACCAATAAAGCACAAACTGAGCAAAAGACCCCAGAAAAAATTATAATTACTCTGCTAACCCCATAATGCCTGGTGTTTTATTATTATTATTTGACTAATCACCACAACGTAATATAATGAGATTTTATCCATCAATAGTATGTCTTATGGGGTTTTGGGGTTTTGGGGTTTTGGGGTTTTGGTAG